ATCGCACACATTTTCACTAACATGTCTACTAAAAAGTATGACTGCTCCGTCTATGATGTTGCAAGCTTCGCTTGTAAGCAAAACATCTGCTACATTCTGAGCACTGGTATGGTTTACTGTTTAAATGTCTAGCATTTTTATGTCCTTCATAATCTTTCCTTGCAACAAAAGTCTTCTCACAATATTCACAGACATAAATTCCAATCCTACCAACTTCAGAATTTCCATGTCTGAGATATGTTGACTGAGAGTGTAACATCTCAAAAGCATGGCTACTACCTGTGAAACCTGGAACAAATAAAAATTATGCTCCAATAAGGATAATTACAAGCGCTTTCCACATTGCAATCCTGATAAAAATACAAACAAATCCAGTATGAAGCCATTATTGACTAGGCACATGTCACTGAAAATACTATGAAAATATACCATCAAACTAAGAAATTGACTTCACACGTTACCTATCTTTTCTTAACAATTAAAAATCCTAAAAATTCAGAGATGTGCCATTCGCAAATGACATTTTAAAGTTTTTTCATAAGCAAAGGCTTTTGAACAAACAGGACACTGAAACGGCTTGCAATTTAAATGCTGAGAATTAACATGTCCTTCCATATCCTGTTTAGCAGCATAAGACTTTGAACAAAATTGGCATCGAAAGCCTTTAGAATTCATATTCTGATGATGGTTACTGCTGATGATATGGTGCAAGGTGAATGATCCTGAATTTCCTTTACCCACATCTGGAACAGAAGTTATAACCAGGTGTAAATTAAGACTTCACCAGATGTACTAACATCTAAATGAATAACAGACGTGACATGAACAATGGTGAATGCTTCAGAGAAACACTAAGAAAAAGCTTATACTCCCAGGCCTATCTACCCTAATCCTCAAATAACAATATCCATTTTATTGTACCATCTTTAGTATACTTCAAGTACAGTCTAAAAAAGGTATAGAGAAACCCACAGGACAAGAAATACCATAATACCTTGAATATTTTCAAACAGGTACAATTTAATTTTAAGGTCAATAGAAGAATTTGCAGCTGAAGTTAATTAAAATAATCCACTAGCGTAAATATTTCGCAGAACATAGACTTTGATGCCGCCTTTGAGTTCGCCTATATGGAAACTTTTTTCCACAAAAGTCACACGGATAACTGACTTGTAATAGATGAACAGCATTCCTGTGGTCTCTGCAGCTCATTCTTGTTGTAAAAACTTTTCCACAGAATTCACAAGTGTTACTTGATGACAAAAATGTAGCATAACTTGTTTCACTGGTCAGTGAGCCTTCAATGTCCACATTCCAATCAACTGAAAACAATAATTTACTCTGATAAGTGTCATACTTATACTGAACTTGGAATGAGCACACTTCCTTTGAAGAATTATCAATGTGTACTGTAAGCTATGACTCCAAAACTTGGCAAGAAAACTGATACCAATTCAGATTTTGAGTGATAAGAAAAGATATTGCAGATTTATGACAATTCTAGATCAACATACTGTATTTTTTAATGTTCACACATTCTTTGATGCCTCTTTAAATTCTGTGAGTAAGAAAAAGATTTACAACAAAATAAACAAGTGAATGCTTTGACTCCATAGTGCTGGCTATTAATATGACCACCCAAATCTGATTTGTTGACAAAGCGCTTTGAACAATGAGCACATTGATATTTCTTGTGAAACTCCAATTCAATAGCAGTCACTTTGCTACTTTTACACCAACCTGGAGGAAAATAAAAGTGCAGTTATGTTCCTATAGTCTACATTTGATGAGGGCCAAGCTGGCAGATGTTTCTTGCAGTTACCAACTTGGAAAACAAATATTCATCCCAAAAAATTTTTCTTACAACAAAGAAGGTGCCTATTTAAGCTTTGTCTGTAGGAGTAACTCACTGCACAATGTTTGCAAACATAAGGTCTGGTGTTAAGATGAACACTGTTGATATGGCCCATGCAATCAGATCTATTGTGAAATTTTTTCCCACAAAAAGTACATGTTGGATTACAGACCATCTGCTGCCTCCCAAGGTTATATGGTTCAACTTGTCCAAAATATGTACTATTCTCTGATAATTCTGGGAAAAGTATGGATGAAAAACTTTCATAAGGCGAAAACATTCATTATTTGGGCTGGCAGGATGGAAGAAATTTAACTTTCAGGGGCCTTGAGAACCAGAGAAATGTAAATTTAAAGTTGATGATAAAGAATTCTGAGGATTATTTTCACAAGTTCTCCTATGCCTGCTAAGGTTAGTGGCATACGCAAAGCACTTTTCACAAAATTCACACTGAAATGGTTTCCTGTTGAGATGGGTATTCAAATGACCAATATATTGGTGCTTAACACGAAAAATTTTTCCACATAAATGACATGGAAATGTTTTGTTGGCTTGACTTCCTATAAAATCAGCCTGCGGGGTGCCAATCATATCCATCATAGTGGAATTGTGCTCCTCTGCAGCTAGGGCAATAATTTTTTTCAAACTTTGTTCATCAAGAAAGGCTGGAGATGAAAAAAGTAGGATCAGTTCAGTTACACAACTGGTCTGGCTGGCACTGCAGGATAAGTGATAATTCAGGAAGAAAGCAAAGGTTCATTTTCAAAATTTGCATAAAGCCTAGAAAGAAAAGTTTACATTTTGAAAAAGTCTTTTACAAAAAAAACTGAACAATGCAAAAATATTTACAATTCTGTTTTAACTGCAATTTTAACCAAGGTGTACATATTTTCAAAAAAAAAAATGTTTGGGTACATTAGCCATACAAGACATCAGTCATAGCAATACAAGGGTTCTATTTTTTTCATAAGCTACAAAAAAAAAAAAAAAAAACCATCAGTCTGCACCAGTTTTAAGAAACTCCCTTACCCATATTACAAAAAAGATAACGCATAGAACTTCACGAACGGCAGCCTGGACTTTTTAACCAGGTCTTTTTTCATGGCTACTCAAAACATTCAATACATGATAAATAAAAAAAATTGTCATACTCTATAGCAAATCTGATTCAGAATACTTTCGATATATTAACAAAATGCCAAAGGCTAGTTCCTGCATGTGATAGCGCTGGCTCCAAGTGTGCATGAATTTGTTGTCAGTTTCAGGCACTGGGCAATCCAAAATAAAATGACAAAACAACTTCAAATCTGAATGCCATTTCTCAATTGTAACATATTGGCATACCAACCAACAGAACAGTGTGAAAAAAGATGTTATCTAGTGCATGCGAAATTGGAAGATATACTGACAGTGAAAGATACTATGATGAAAGGAAATACCTGCACTCTAGAATTGGGGTAGTTAAAAATCTTTTGAAATCTCTTTAATTTATTGTCCTATGGGGATTAATTTTGTAATGCTAACAATTTGTAAGCTTGACAAGAGTCTGTGATACAGTGTGAAGCCTTTTCCCCTTGTGCTTTCAGCCAAATGTTTAAAATATAATAAACAGGAGCATCCTTAAAAGTTCTCATGGTTATACCTAATTATTTTACCCTCTTACTTTCAAAATTTCAGATTCTCTTGTCAACTCCAAATTGTTAAAATATAAGGCCAAAAATATAAATATTGGGAACCATGTGAACTTCTGAGTTTACCACCTGCCAGCCCAGGCCCTCTCCAACAACAATGTGAAATCAAATCTTTATAGAACAAAGATGAATGTAAAATCAGCAATCTATTGATCAAAATTTTGTTGGCAGATTTCAGTAAGTGAGTAGAATTAAACTTGACTGATCTATTTAGTTACATTCATCTTTGTGGCAAATATTTAAGACATTACTATTTTAAAACAATTGTTAAGAATTATGATCCAGCTATCACAAACAATATTGTAGCTTAAGTGTACATATAAGCTTATATGAATAAACAAATAGTAAAAAAAAAAGATTAATTTGCTTCTTTGCATCTTTAAAAACTTCACTTTAACTTTCTGAAATTAACAGTGAGAGCTGAATCACCTAATTCAAAAATTTAAGTATTGAGGATTTGTAGGATGCAAAATCAATACCAGAGTTACTGAGAGATTGGGTGATAAATAATCCTCAATACTTTATTAAAGCCACCATCTAAACTTACCTGTATATTGAAAGATGAGGCTATTATAATTAATCTTAGAAACCCCAAACAAATAAAATGCATTCTTTTTTCATTTTGAAAAATTAAGTAATGAAGTTTAATGCACTATATTTGTCAGGGGAAATGTGTAATTATACAAGTAAAACATTTAAAAAAAGAAATGCTTTCTTCAGTTATGTAAATAATTTAGCCCTAAAAATGTAAAGCCATTGCTTATAATTGTTTAATGAGTAGAGACAAAAATCATTTAAATTTTCATTTTTAGCTGTATTGACATTTACCAAAAAAGAAATTAAGATTTCTACGAACAGATATTTTCCCTAATTTCCGAACCTACACAGCAGAGGATATTTTACCTCTGAGAGAAGTACAAGTGATCATTGCATCGCTTACTGATAGTACAATCTTTGAATATGTATTTAGAAATATTTTTAAAAATGCCCTCTCCACCTTTTTTCAAAAATGGTTACTATTAATAAAAATGAGTTTTATGAAATCATAATGATCTCACAATTCTTTACCCAACACGTCAATAATTTTTATTTTCATTAAAATACTGTTATGGCAAAGAGCTTTAGTCCTATCATTTAAAAACCAATAAGTCACAATTATATTATAGGTTTCGTCTCAGTTAAAATCAAACAAGTGATTATGTTTATTTGTGCCTAGTTTAAAGCTAATTCAGACAGTACATACCTAATTTTAAAAATACATCACTGAATAAGCATTTCACAAAGCAAAAAAATCAACAGCTTGCTGAGTCCAAATTTTCAAACAAGTCATTTTAAAATTTTGTAATTTATTTTCTTAAATTTTGCTGTTTAAATTTGTTTTGCAAAAAAAAAATTATAACTGAAAGCTGTTGGATTTTTTACTGCAATTTTCTACATGTAATAAAGGAACCAACCTGATGGGTCGCCTGAGCTTTCACCACCATCCATTTGTGAAGAACCTGATGTATATATAGCTGACCTATCCCCTGATGTGTTAAAATTAGACCTTTGTGAACCAGATGCTGCACCAAAACTAGCCTGCCCAGGAAAGTTAACAGCAGGAAAAGCAGAATTTGACTGATAAACAGGATATAGTGCTGAATCATCACCATGACTTCTATCACGACCTGAAAATGAATTATATTTCATTTGGTTATAACTGAAATTTCAGATACATTTTCAATGTATACATAAAACAAAATATTAGAACTATTGGTAGCTGAAGAAAAACTTTCTCTGATCAAAGCACAATTGTAGCAGGTGCCTTATAATTAGTTAGCTAACTCGTATCCTTCAAGTATACTGTATGCAACATGAAAATTATTTTAGATCAAGAACTGACAATTACGCTACATTCGTGGGTAAAGATTGAATGTAAAATAATGTCTAGAGCACATATTTTCCACTGATTGCTCATTAGCTAAACTAGTTAAATGTTCAAAAGAATAACTCTGAACGATTGAAGAGGAAATGGAAATACTTTTTTGACAGAAACAGCTAAAATGATAAACTGTTAGCTACAGCGTTACCAGCTTTTCAGTTGAATTTTTATCACTGAATGGAAGTATGCCAATTAAGCATAGTTTTATAAGATACCGGATAAAAATTTGATGATCGCAAAAATTATTTTGACAATGTGAGATAGGCGGAGGTGGAGAAAGGTTTTAAAATCTTGAGTTATTTATGGATAACGTTGTGACAAAATTTCAGCATTGCCTGGATCTTATCATACGAGGAAATTTTTAAATTAGTAGCATAAAGTTTAAATTAAATTGGTCCTTGGTATATGATAACCATATCATAAATTTGGTTTATTTATATGAAATAAAGGCAATGGACAAATGATGAAGTGAGAACATCACATATGTCACGAACTTGTCTGGACAAATGTGCCCTAAACTGAAAATTTCAGAAATTTACCTTATACCAAGAAAACTTGCTGACAAGTTTTAAAGCATGAGTTTGGAAACAATTTAATAGAATGCAAAAAAAAAAAAAAAATTATATATATATATATATATATATATATGTGTGTGTGTGTATTTAAGAAGAAGAATTATTAATTTAAAAAAAAAGGGTGGGAAATTTTATAATTGAATAAGATGTTTATATTGTTGAGAGTAATGACAATTCTACTGACAATATTGGTAATTTAGACCAGAAGCTATGCACAGCACAAACCAAAATGCTTTAAAATTAAGTTTACACAATTTCTTGAATAAAATATTTGAGCAGGTATTAGATATTAAATAACATACAATTCAACAAATGGTAAGAAAGTAGTGCGAGACAAAATAAGTAAAAATATTGGCCAGGGTGTAAAACAAAAAGATAACACTTACTTTGATTACCACTCTGAGAACAGCTTGAAGAGGAGGCGAATTCTTCTTTTATAAACGTAACATCTGTATCTATTGATGGTTTTATATCCCGCTCTTCTGATTCTTCAGCCATAGAATTCTCATCATCTCCAGGATGGAAGAAACTTTGCTGATAAGGTTCATTATAATTTGTGCCATGTGATACATCAGTGTTGGGTGCAGTTAAAGTTGCTGGTGTTACACTTTCAGCAGCTGGACTAGGTTGAGAAGGAATACTGTTTTCACTGGCAGGATTTGAGGTTTGTGAGGACAAATTTTGATCTAATGGTTCAGTTCTAATTTTTTTATGCCTGGGAGATTGTCTTCCAGACTTTGATGGTGATGGTTCACTTTTTAAATTTTTTAAGGAAGGTGAAAAAGATCTTTTTAAATTCTGAGAGTGTGGAGAGTTCTGGGCCCCTCTATGGGGCAATGTTCCATAATTAGTACTTTTAGGTTCTGCTTGACCAAGTATACTTTCATTTACCTCTTCAGACTTTGATTCAGCTTTATCATGTGACTTCTTGTGTGGCTTAGGCCTTTCTGCTGGTTGGGCATGAAAACTATTACTTATAAATGTAACACTGTTTTCATCAGTTTTGCACACTTTTTCATTTAAGATGTAGTCTATTGTTTTTCCTGTGTCTACACTTAGATATAAATGGCCTATAACCTGAACACCATTATCAAATTCAACATAACCATTGCAAAGTGACTGTAGAAACTTTGCTAGAGACGATATAAATTTGGTTGATGAATCGTAATCCATTTTTTTCCAACTGCAAAAGATAAAAATAATTTTAGAAATGAAAGCATGGAAATAGGTATTATGTGTAAGTTGTCAAAAATTCACAATATTAAAACTGTAAACCAAATAATTGAGGCAGTTGAGGGTTGGTTTGGGTTACAGAGATGCATAACCAAAAATACCCAGGATGAAGTGTATTATAATAAGAAGGCTGATTCTAGCTGGAAAAAGATACGCATGCGCAATGGAATAAAACTACGACTTGCCTTCGCGGCTCGGCTATGTTTTTGGTGGTACTGCGCATGCGTGTGTTTACAACCGCGGAACCCTAGCTCAGCTATTAAGGTCACTACACAAGCGCTGAACTATCTTTTGCCGACCAAGTGGAGATGCTGAGGCGAAAAATCTTTTTAAGAGTAGTCACTTCGTAATAAGAAAGGCACATCTTGGCTTCATAAATGAAGGCTTCAAACTTGCCATTTCAAGACAACTAAAATTTAAAAACTGACCAACTAAAGATTTCTGATTAGACCTACTCTTTTGTCTAATGCTAGTCAACTGAAAATTTGTTCTGCTTATTATTCCTTCCATGGCATAACAATAAATCATTTTGTCATAAATGATTTTTAAATAGGGGGGTTGGTCTGGTTTTTTGGATGGAGAGAAAAAACCCGAACTTTGCCAATGTGGATGATTTTATATACAGAGATAATAGACTCTTCTATAATATAGGTGTGTTGGGTTGTTAGTAGTGTTGTAATCTTGACTAATTTTATAGTTTGAAATTAGGATTATGATGCTACGGCCTGATTTTTTAGGTATCTCGATGGTGTGCCGAGTAATTCGATATGTATTTAAGTGTCCGGGGATTATTATTTTCACCTGTCGTTGTAACATATGAGATGAGAATATGCAAATGTTGATATTGTAAAGAAGTATGAAATTTGATGTGGGTACTGAATTACTTAGCACTAAATTGTGTGTTTATAGGATATATTGTTAGGTTAAACAGAATGTATGATGTATTATTAAAGCTAATGGGATTAGCTTAAATGGAGAGGGGGGTAATGTTATGATGCATGGTCGACTGGGGAAATCGGTGCGCATGATTGATGGTGCGGCCGTATGTTGAACGAGTGAATGTGTGACGAGATACGAAAGATAGTGACGTTTTAGGTTAGAGAGTTGGTTGCTATGAGTTTATGTGTGAGGAGTTGAATCCTTATCGTCGGTGTGGAAGGACGTGTGTTGTTGTAGATACGAGATTAAAAGATTCATACACGGATTACTTGGTTCATCTTATCTCTGAGCGTCGTAGATTCGTTTGAATGTGATATAACCTAGGGGTTCTCAAGGTGTAATACTCTCTCCCTGGTATTGGAGACGAGTGAAATGGTAGCTGGCTGAGTCAAACAAATCAAACCCTCTCACTGCACTGCAACATAACCGTAACATGGTGAAGCAGTATAACAGTAGGACTAGGGTTGGAGACAGGGTTAGCATTGACATTAACCAGCCATGACCAGTAATCTAACTTCCCCTTTTTTAAAAAGATTCTACTATCAGACACTGGTATAAAAATTCCCCCAAAATTTGAATTAGCCAAGCATTTCTTTCAAGAAGGGCCAGAGAAGTTTTGATTTGCAGTGAGTTGATTTAAATTTAGGATAAAAGCAGGTTACTAGATTTCATCATTTTTGGCACCACACTTTTTTTTTGTTTTTAACACCAGTAGATCTACATTAGAATCTAGTCTAAATTGGTGGTTTTAGAGATTATGGGGGTTTATTGACTCAATAATTGAGGGAGGTGCCTACTGCTGTTAGGGGCCTCACCACAAGTTGCTTAGATTTTTTAGAGCCCTGCTGTACTCTAAAAACAAAAAGATGTTTAGTGTTTAGTATAAAAATAGTTTTAATTGTTTTGCTCTCTGAACACAATGGTATTGATGCACTGTTCATTTGTGTGCACTAACAATACTAAGTTGGTGGAGTTTGGTACCTCCAAAAAGGTTAAGAACCATTGCTCCTTGTCTTGACTTGGCGCTTAGTGTAGAGTCTTGAATCATTTTCTACTCTACTGAACTAGACATCTAGAATAGTCAGGTCTTCTAAGTTCTAGATCTATAACCAAAAACAATCTAGACCTGAAGGACATATTAAATGTTACTTCGCATTAAATGCTTTAAGTATCTAAATTACGTATTATCAAATTTTGTATATGAATCTAAATACTCACCGTGACTAAAAAGTTTTAGAAAGTCTTCCCCAATTTCATTTCTAGTACAACGCTGACGCCTAAGCCGACCTACTTAAATATTATAATGAAGAGAGCATGCGCATTCATGAAAATGAAGTAGGAAATGTCCGTGATTTTACTCATGGAGCCCCCACATTGTACACGAGATAAAAATAGGCTAGGGCCTAGGCCAGAATATATTTTGTTAGGCCTAAGCTACTGTAGAGTACTGATGGTAGATACTAGATGTAAAATCTTGCATCTCTGATTAGCCTATGGGCAGCGTAGGTTATAGAAGTCTAGATGTAGAATAGTCTAGATTCTATAGAATCTATTTGTTACATTTTTTAAAGCAAAATTCCTTTGGTCATTATTAGATCTAACATGCAAAATAAAAAGAAAGAAATATCTCCACGGGACAGAGGTGCTTGTATGTTTTTGTTTTTTTTTTTATAGTGGAAATTTATTTGCGAATAATCATTCGAAAAATAGGTCCGCTGCTAGAATCTAGGGTGCACCTCCAAAACGGCCCGGGACATATCGGCCCCGTCAAAACAGCCCCGTTAATATGACCCCGTCAAATCGACCCCCCGACAAAACGTCTCCGTCAAAATAGCCCCGTCAAAAGGGCGCCGACTTATTGGCTCTCGTCAAATGGGCTCCCGTCCGTCATACTGACTAGCGACATATAGGTTCCCGACAAATGGGCTTTCGACATTTAGGCTCCCGACAAATGGACTCCCGACATATTGGCTCCCGACAAATATGGCTCCCGACAAAGCGGCTTCCGGCATATCGGCTCCCGACATAAGGGCTCACGACTTATTGGCTACCGACAAAAGGGCTCCCGACATATTGGCTTCCGACAAAATGACTCCGTCAAAATAGCCCCGTCAAAAGGGCCCCGACTTATTGGCTCCCGTCAAATGGGCTCCCGTCATACTGACTAGCGACATATAGGCTCCCGACAAATGGGCTTTCGACATTCAGGCTCCCGACAAATGGACTCCCGACATATTGGCTCCCGACAAATATGGCTCCCGACAAAGCGGCTTCCGGCATATCGGCTCCTGACATAAGGGCTCACGACATATTGGCTATCGACAAAAGGGCTCCCGACATATTGGCTCCCGACAAATATGGCTCCCGACAAAGCGGCTTCCGGCATATCGGCTCCCGACATAAGGGCTCACGACTTATTGGCTACCGACAAAAGGGCTCCCGACATATTGGCTTCCGACAAAATGACTCCGTCAAAATAGCCCCGTCAAAAGGGCCCCGACTTATTGGCTCCCGTCAAATGGGCTCCCGTCATACTTACTAGCGACATATAGGCTCCCGACAAATGGGATTTCGACATTCAGGCTCCCGACAAATGGACTCCCGACATATTGGCTCCCGACAAATATGGCTCCCGACAAAGCGGCTTCCGGCATATCGGCTCCTGACATAAGGGCTCACGACATATTGGCTATCGACAAAAGGGCTCCCGACATATTGGCTCCAGACAAATGAATCGTATTACCACTATTGGCATAAAAGTAATCATTTGTGGTCGGCGTGGTCGAGTCGATAAAGCTTATGGTTGCTAAACCGAAAAGTCTCGAGTTCGAACCCTCGGGCAGATGAGGCTCGTTAGCTGGGGACAGCAACTCTTCTATGAGAGACAACTCCAAAATTAAACAACAGCTGCCTTGCAGTTTGTTCTTGGTTGGACAAAGGTTATGGAAGCAAATCCAAAAAGAAAAGCAGGCTGAAATCGGAGTCAAAGGCCTCAATGGCACATAACCAGTTGACACGTATCCTTAATTGTGATGGAGGCGTGGTCGAGTCGGCAAAAAAGCTCATGGTTGATAAATTCGAAAAAGTCTCGAGTTCAAACCCTCTGGCAGATATATCTATATATAAGGCTCGATCCCTTCCAACACTAAGAATTAAAAACGAAGAAGAAGATTTGTACTACATCCACTACCACTATAACCTCTTTTAAATGCCTGCATGAAATTGTTTTTCATGAACCAACATCAATTCACAAACAAATCTAGCCCTTAACAGCTAAATTCCAGCAATTCTAAAATTTTGATAATATTTAATTTACAACAGTAAAGATCTGTTGCTTAAAAGCGAGCACAGAAGTGTAAATGTGTGATATACATGATGTTTACAGGATAAAGACATTTTGTTTTGATAACCTACACGCATACTGCGTGTAGGAATGTACAGCGTGGACCCCTCTTCCCACACACTAAGTTGGAAGAGCCTGTAACCGACTCACTTATGGAAGTCATAGATAGATCACCCTTAAATTAAAACATACTATTTCTTATAATAGATAAACTATTATAAAAATATAAGGCCTGCCGAACAAGAGATGCATAAGTTGTATTACTTAAGAGTGTTGAATAAGCTAACTCTAAAGAATATTGATGAAGGGGACCCACTGGCAGGTGTCATATTCAATGAGACTGTTTTGCCGGGAGACTTAGTCTCTACGGAAACCATATTGTCAGTGGTCCTTTTGTCGGGAGCCAAATTGACAAGAGCCTACTTGTCGTGAGCCAAAATGACGGGAGCCTATTTGTCGCGAGTCGTAATGACGGGGGCCGTTTTGTAGAGAAACTATATGACGGGAGCCTATTTGTCGGCAGCCTATATTACGGGGTCAATAAGTCGCTGGCCCTTTTGACGGGGTCGATGTGACGGGGCTCTTATGTCGGGGCCGATTTGTCGTGGGCGTATTGACGGGGCCGTTTTGTCATTGGCCGTTTTGACGCCGCACGAGAATCTAGATCTTGATTTGGGGTGTCCAAATAGTTGAAGCCCGGAGCGCATGAGCTGTCCTTAACCACGAAGATTGTAGGCCCACTTATAGTAAGTAATAGCTAGGGTTTGTAATGTAAGGTTGAACAAGGGAAGTCTACGGCTAAGGGGGTCATCCATTTATGACGTTCACACGGGAGAAGGGGGGTCTGAAAAATCGACTTTTGTGGATAGGGGTAGTTGGGTCAATGTGGACGTCCATATGCGGAATCGAACCACAAAATACTTACATTTGATCATTTTAAAAATGCATTAAAATGAAGATTATACATTATATCGGCAGTTCTCGTGGTAAATGTATCAGAAATGTAGCTGTATACCGCCCGCCTAAGAAAAAAAGGCGATTTTTTTTTACAAGCTTATGGACGGATGGGGCAGTGACCGCGGCAATTTTCTAAAACTATTCATGGTATTGGTATTTCAAGTTTATTTTTAAACATTTCAAACAATTGTAACTAAACCATAGTAGGCCTACATGATTATTTTGTGTCAAAGCCTAAGATGATGTAGATCTATTTTTTTTTCAAGTAAAAAACTCTAAGTAACCACCAGGGCCGGCGCTACCTGTAAGGCGAACTAAGCGGTCGCCTAGGGCGCTGCCCATAGGGGGGGGGGTGCGCAAAAATGTGAAATCGACATTATTAAAAAGTACCTAATAATTTATAACTTTGATAATATTACATTAACTATATACAAATGCGTAGCGATCTATTTAGATGCCCAGGACGAACTATCAATTTTCCGCCCCAACTTCAAATTAGGCCTATATATAAGTATTCGCGTTGGTGAAAATGCTCCCCCACCTCCCTTATTTGAAAAGGTCGGGGCTCTTTCTAACCAGTAAAGGTATCCAATAGATACTACAGTGACCCACGCAGTGTTTCTTCCAGACTTTTTTCTCCGGGGGGGGGGGGGCACTTGAAATCTTCGGGGGGGCGGTAAACTTTCTTCGGGGGGGCGGTTACTGTTAAAAGTTTATATTTTCTATATAAATTATATAAATTTCATTTCGTTCGGGGGGGCGGTAAAAATTTTTCGGGGGGGCTTCGCCCCCCCGAAGAGATGCCTGGAAGAAACTCTGGACCCACGCTTTTCTTTATAGTTATTTAAATAGTAGTCTATACTTTATTTTAACCTTTTAGTGCATTATTACATAAAAGCTTGTTATTAAAACGTTTTTTACTTGCTCGTATATACAAAGTATAGAGAAAGTCTTGTAATCGTGCAAAAAAAAAAAAATCGGACGTTTTAGGGATTCCTGAGTCGGAAAAACATAGTTTTGCAATCTTGTCTGTATGTCTGTGTGTGTGTAAACACGATAACTTGAGTACCGTTACAGCTAGGTTGATGAAATTTCATATATAAGTATTATATCAAAATCGTAGATCCGTATCAACTTTTGAGCGATTTCCGATAACCGGAAATGGTACTTTTTCTTCTTTGAATTTTTCAAAAGCATAACTTGAGTACTATTTCAGACAGATAAATGAAATTTTACGTGTAAGTAAAAGCTCTAATTCTCTACCTTCTTTCAAATTTTAAGTAATTTCCGTTGACCGGAAGTAGTAATTTACGCTACTTCCGATTTCTCAAAAAACTAATGTACATTTATAAAGTACTAATAATATTGCGCACTATTATGCACATTTTATTTGGCGTTCACTTGGTGTGCAATTCTTTTTTCTACGAGATTTTTATTCTATTTTAAAAAGTTTAAGTATTTAAAATGGATTAAAAATCATGTCTATATCCCGAGTTCTCATCCCCTGTTGTTTTATATAGAGTTTCTTCCAGGCATCTCTTCGGGGAGGGGCGGAGCCCCCCCCCCCCCCCCCAAGAAAGTCTATCACCACCCCCCCCCCCCCCCGAACGAGATGGATTTTATATAGTAAACATACACTTTTACATACACTCCAAAAAATGTTGACCGCCCACACCCCCCCCCCCCCGAAAATTTCAAGTCCCCCCCCCCCCCCGGAGAAAAAAGTCTGGAAAAAACACTGGTTTTATATAAGAATATTCGAGAAAGTTTAGGGGAAATTGTAATAGATTGAAATAATTGTGAGGTCAAGGGAACTCACTCTTCTGTATTAGTTATATTTATAATATTGTTATCTTGAGTGATGTCCCTTGTGTACTTCCTTCCGTCCTCTCTGTGTGTTACCATCGTGCTGTAGTTCAGTGGCGTGCAGAGGGGGGGGGGGGGGGCGGAGGGGGCCCAGGCCCCGGGCAGCCACATCAAGGGGGCATCCAAAGGGGGTAAAAAAAAATGA